GGGAGAGGAAACCAGGTCCAGGGGGCTATGGAGGATGTAGATTGTAAGCAAAGGAAGACAGTCAGTGCTTACTCCACTATATCCTTACCATCCACGAGGGGAGGCTGTGCTCCACAGCTTTTCAGGGTTTCCAAATTCTCAAATGCATCTAATTTGCGCCATGACTCCCTCCTAAACTTCACAAGATTCCAAGTATATATGATTTACACAGCTGTGAGTGGAGGTGATTACAGCATTGCTGAAAACTAGATGGGAGAGGTCAGCTAGGTTCACTTGCTCACTAGCCTCCAAGCATAGTCAATCTTTAGAGGCCTTTGCAAAATCACAAGTAACTGCAGAGTTTCTCTGGAATAGATGAAACTTTGGATAAAGTAAAGTTTTCAACTCCAAAGAATTCTTTCAGATTGGCAGTAAGGGGAGCAATGAAATTAACAGTACCATTTCCCCCACCACTACCAGACTAAGTAGGTGAATGAACCATTCAATCAACTGATTAGCCTACCAAATGATCATACTTCCCTGGGCACACTCTGGGCTAGGTTCTTCAACTGGGAACCGGAAACAAAACTAAATCAGAGGCAGTCCTTGTCTTTCACATATTCTCAGAGTAATGTGGGAAACAAACATGAAAATTCATAACTACACCATTATAAGTGTCATGATATTAACATGTTCAAACTGCTATGGCAGCAAAGGCAAAGAAGTACCTAGCTCTGGATGTGATGGAGGAGAATAATGAGGGCATCCAGAGGAAGGGATATTTCAGTTGGGTCTTGAAGGATAAACATAAGTATGACAGGTACATTAAGAAAACAATGAGCAAAGAAACAGAAACAGGAAAAATTAAGAAATATGGACCAGTTGGGCAGAAGAGCAAGACTCAAAAAGGACAGAGGCTATACTGGATGCTTTCACCATCCACTCGGTATAGGTTCTCTGCTTGCCTCTGGCTGCTTCTCCACTGTGCATTCCTTAAATGCTTAGCTCCACGGGGCTTTGTTCTAGGGACTCTTCTCTGGCTTTGCATACTCTGCCTGGTTACCTTATCATCTCCCATGGCCCCAGTTACTATCTAATTGCTAAATGACTCCTAGAGATTTATCTCCCATGCAGAAGACTGTCCTGAACCCTAGGCCTGTGTATCTTACTGCATTTTGGACATCTGTATCTGGATGATGCAAAGGGACTGGTCCAAAACATAATTCATTTTCCCCTAAACTTCTCTTCCTGCTGTTTATCTCACTGAAAGGCACCACCATCCACCTTGTCACATGAATAAGAGTCCTAGGAGTCTTCTCAATCCTCCTCTTTTTTCACCTTGATTCTGCTTCTAAAATGTGTCTAGGTTTAAAGGTCAGGATAACTAGGAACTAGTCCTGACTTTGTCATTAACTCAAGGTGACATGGTGAGCAAGTTCCTCTCCTATCCCCTCACGTGTAAATTAGGAATGAAGGTCTTTTTTATTTCCAAAATCTGAGATACCCAAAGTTTCACTTCCAGCCAAAGGCCCCTACAGATTGTAAGATGTGCCCCTGAATAAATTCCATCTTGTACTCCTTTGAGGATTTAATTTCTAACTTCTATCATGAGACGAGGTGTGTTAGAGGGGTGGTCACAGTTGCCCCCACCTCTCTTCCAAAATAAATGTTTGCTGAGTTTGACTCACTCATGATATTTTCTCTGGGCACTCTCTACTTCAGCCATATGGTTTTGTTGTTTTTCTGAATACAGGCTGTACTCTTTCACGTGAGCCTTTGCTCAAGTTCGTCTCTCGGAAAGAATGCCATTGTCCCTTAAGTGGGTGAGGTGGTACCTGCCACATAGAAAGTGCTCAGTATATGTTGATGACAGGAGAACTATGTTACAGTCTTTACAGTTTCCTCTCACTAGAGAGAGAGGCAAAAAAAGCAAAGGCAATAACAAGATAAGTGAACAAAGCCTTAGAAGAGAGACCTCTGCTTAAGCTTTCCCACAGCAAAAGGTAGTAAGTGCTCTGTCACTGGAGGCATACAAGCCAAGAAAGGCAGGGCACCTATCAGGCCTGCAGCCCTGATTTCATTTTTGCAGACAAATCAGAGTCCTGCTTAGGGGATGAATGGGCACTGGCGAGCTGGACATACTGACAGGGGACGCCCTGTGAAGAGGACCTTGCATCTGCTATGACCTCCCAGATCTGATCTTCCTGGGGCCAGTCCTGGGCTTCTGCTGTTCACGTTTAAGACCCCCACAGTAGAAATAAGCCCAGGGCCTGACTTCAATTGGACTGACCTCCCTGGAGTGCAGCCTACCCCTCCAACCTGCAACCATCTGTCCCTGCAGGTTTGGAGCCCAGGATCTGAAGCCAAGTCCAGGAGGAAGGGAGGCCAGAACCAGGGAGGGGCCTGGGGTCCTCCAAGCTGGGCCAGGCTGCAAGGGAACCAGAGTGGTCTTTTCCTAAAAGAAGCAGTCTCAGAATGAAGCTTCCTGTCCTCCACCCTGCCTGGTGGGCCTCTGGGTGCCTGAGGAGGATGGAGCGGGGGAGTAAGGGGTGGAGGTGTCTGCACCAGGGAGAAAGGAACCCTTCAGACAAGCTGGGGCACAAGATTCCAGAGTCCCACTCTCCAACCTCACCCCCACCCCCCACCCCACCCTTGGCCGCAGGGCTCTGCAACGTCCGCCAACATATACAAGCTCCCAAGCCCCGAGCTTCTTCAAGGAACCATCACCCATCCACCCGCGCTTTCTCTCTCAAACACAGACCTCACCTGAGCAGCCACAGCCAGAAGAATCCCCCTGCTGCTCTCATGAACATGGGCACGCCTCACGTGGATAGGGACAGGCACAGCTTTTGAAAAGCGTCCGCGCCCCCACCCACAGACACTCGGCGGGGACCCGGACCCGGTAGACAGGGATACAAATGCACGCCCGGGCCCCGCCCGTCGCACTTACCGCGGCGGAGGAGGATGGGAGGGACAAGGCCTGGACTGCGGCCACTCTGAGGGGCCCGCGGCACTGCCCCCGCTGCCAGAGCGTGTCCGCCCGGCCCTGACCGCGGCGCCGCCCCACGTCCCGCGCCTCCGCCTGTCCCCGCGCCGGCGTCGCTGCCGGACC